CTAATACAGTAAAATCAGAATGTTCTTGGATTGAACAACAAGTTCAGTATTTTTTTTTCTTCATATAGAGAGGGATTCTTGAAAGATTCCTAGAAAAATACAGGTTACAGTCAGGATGAGGCTGTAAGTAGCTGTGCCTTGTGCTAGCTTTCTTGCTTCTCCACTGGGAGAGCCTTCAGCTGGATGCTTGGCTGAGACATTCCTCTCCCTTCTGTCCCCCAGATTTTCCCTCTCATTCTAGCCTGCCTCAGCTTCCCTGCCAGGTGATGAGAAATAACTAGCTGGTCTTGAGAATCAGAGTTCTAAATGATCAGTCACAATCCTGTCAGATACACTTCTTCAAGACATATATTTTCAGAAAGCTACAAAATGATGCATTCTGACAGGGGGAAATGAACACATAAGTTTACAGTCACAGATTTCTGATAATATTGTGAAAACAACCCAAGATTAATGAAAAACATTTATGTACTTAGGACCCTCTAATTTCCACAGAATGCAAAGCAAATCATAAAGAGTCATAAAGACTGTACTGAACATCTCCAAACTGCTCTAGTATATGCCTTTAAATAAATCTGTCGCTTATCTCCATGAAAATGGAAAGATGTGTTTTATTACAGACATCTTACTTTATTAATCACAGAAACCACTGGCAGGTCCTGGCCATGGAAGCCTGAACTTGGCAGAATGTACTCAAACTAGTAAGAAGCATAAATCTCCAACAGCCCAGTCCCCATGGATTTTTTTTTCCTGGTGTGACTTACAAATGCTGACCAAACACTGAAAGACGGCCAGGAAAATTATGGAACAGTAATATTAGCATTGCTGAAGGGCTCTACTGGACACAACAGAACCAAGAGATGAAAAACAGTGTGCTGAGTATTTTCCATGCCATTTTCATAGGTGGTTTGATGGTGAGGTTTAAAGAAACAACCAAAACGGAGCAGCCCTGTCTACTTCTGCTGTTGCCTGTAACTTTCTACTCTCATTTTTCTAAAGTTTTCCTCATTCCTGGTCCCCCAAATAAAAACCTGATTTAGACATACTCCTATGCCAGCGACTTGAGCTATATATAGAAAAAGTCTCTTTTTTCCTTTGCTAAAGGCAGATAGTAGAATCTGGGGGGGTCTCAGATGGGCTTACTAGGTTCTGTGTCCACGGAATTGGACCAAGGACACACAGACATGGTAGAAATAAGACAGCTGATTAACAAGAATGGCACTTCCCAGCAAGGAATTGTGTGTGAGTGTGTGTATGTGTATGTATGTACATGTGTGTATATGTGTATATATATTTTGTGTGTATGTGTATGTATATATGCATGTACCTAATGGCACTTGTGTCTGTGTCCAGCAGATTGAGCTATCTGTATCATGATAAGCATTTTTTCTGCATATGCTGTTACATGCCAGCATTTGGTAGAAGGGGTTTCCACTCTTTTACTCTGTCAGTGGTTGCTTTTGTGCATGCACACACTCGAGCTCACACGTGCACACGTACGTACATACACGTACACACACACACACGTACACACACACACACACACACACACACACACACACACCCTACTCTCTTACCACTAACAAAGCAATGGTGGACATTTAATAGAAAACATTCCTCCTTCCCTCCCTCTTTCCTTCTTTCCCTCCCACCCTCTCTCTTCTTTCCTTCCTTCTGTCCTTGTGCCAAACATATTAGGGATAGCTAGAAATTTCTTTGTCAGGTTGCCTCTTTAATCTCTATTCTCTCCTAATTTTGTGCTGACTCTTAGTACAAGAAGATGCTACGAGATTATGCTTGCTTTTAAAAATATACCTAAGATTTAAGATGGTAGGAAGTGAACTCCACCAATAATAATTCTGCATGTTAAATATCTGTAGTCATTGTTTTCTGTTAAAAAACCCATACATATAATCAAAGACTGTTGTTCTTATGAGTACCTACAAACGCACAGTTCATCTTCCATTTGAATTGAAAAGGATGAGTTATCAAACTAGATACTTGTATCTCAGCTAGAGTTCCACAGCAGGTATATACTTTTAATCAGAGCATATGTAAGTGTTAGCCAATGATGAAGTGGTGCAGGGCCACTCTTAGATTCTGACAAAACAAGAAGAAGAAAGAAGAAAGAAGAAAGAAAGAAGAATGAAGAAAGAAGAAAGAAAAAGAAGAAACAAAGAAAGAAAGAAAAAAAAAAAAACTAACCAGAGCCTCGAATTCCTCGCCCCAAACATTTTTCAAAAAGTAAATACTATCCTGTCATTACAGCATAACATATTCACTATCTCTTTCTACAGGAGCTAATCATTACACTGTAAAGTAACACAATGAAGTACATCGCTTAGAAAAAAAACAAGCACGTTGCTGAAGTCAGAAATCACCTCCAGACCAGCCGACTACATGAACGTAAGCTCACACTGTAGTTTAGCGGTCTGTCCAAGCACTGAACTAGCTCATTAGTGGAAGCCACTTAAGCAACAGGCTGGGTATGGCCCAGCCTGTGCTGTGGCCTCCTGCCCTCTTTGGCAATGCTCGGCCAGTGACACTGTGAGATTGCTAAGCCAACAGCCATGTCCCTCACATCATTCTTTCTTGTTTTCATCTGGGGAGATGTTTATATATGTGTATTTTTAGTAAGTACTGGCTTATTTCTACTAAAAGGTATTAATTTAGGTGACTAAATCTACAGCAATTACTTCTTTCTACAAAATACTAAAGTAGGATATTTGAGGATCATCAGTAACCAAATAATTGATCCCACCTACACTAGTGCTGATTAGTTACATTATTTATATATTTATTTTGTTATATATTACTGACATTCTGTAGCACAAAACTCCTTTTGCACTTATGGCTATAGGCAAATAGTAGGAAGGGCTACAGCCATGACATTAAAAATGTAGGCAGAAAACAATATTGATACAATAAAAACCACCTGGTCTAAGGATGGTAACACTCTAAAGACAAGTTGGCATACCTTACTTTTGGGCTTTGGGGTTTTTTTTTAAGTCTTTAAGGTATGAAAAAGTTTCACCAAGAAAATGTTCTACTTTGAGTCTCATGATTCTTTTAATAAATTATGAACAGGCCCATTATAAGCTAATGAAACTATTATTCATAGAAGAGAAATAAGGATTGACTGAAGATGAAGAACAGTAAACATAAGAAAGCAAGGCTATGCTAACTTTCCAGCTTGTCTACAATTCGTAGGCTGCTCAGTTTCCAAGGGACTAATAAGGGGGACAGGGACTGTCTCTGACATGAACTCAGTGGCCGCCTCTTTGATCACCTCCCCCTGGGGAGTACAGCCTTATCAGGTTATAGAGAAAGATGATGCAGCCAGCTTTGATGAGACCTGATAGGTCTCATATAGAAGGGGAGGAGGTCCTTCCTTATCAGTGGACTAGGGGAGGGCATAGGGAGAGAGGAGGGAGGGTGGGTGGGGCTGGGAGGAGACGAGGGAGGGAGCCTCAATGGGGATACAAACTGAATAAATTGTAATTAATTAAAATTTAAAAAGGAATTACAATGGCTAAGAACTTAGAGTATACAACAAAGCCCTACAAAAGCAAGTTTTAGGGTGAAGGGGTATATTTCAGTGGTGTAGCATTTGCCTGTAAAGTGCAAAGCCCTCGGCTTAGACTCTAGCATCAAAAAATAACTGTAGTAACAGCAATATAAAGTTGAAAGCAGTTAATAATTGTCTTCTAAATCTTTCAAGACATCATATATCTAAATCAAGTGCTATATAAAATATGCATTTTCATTTTCATCTGACATGCCAAATCATTTAGTATGTCATTTTCTGCTCTTTGAAAATAATCTTAACTATTGTTATTACACTGTAGCTATTTCATAATCTATTTGACAATTGTATTTTGGAAGTATAGCAAATCACCATTAAAATTAATATGTGATCAAGCATAACTACTGCAAATATTGTCTCAATAATATCCTCACATCTGAAACAATGTATCTATACTAATTCTAGGACAGATTTCCTAGAATGGAAACTATTGGCTCAGCAGTATAAACTTTCAAAAGCTCTGGATACAACTTTCCTGAAAGTCACACTCAGGTCACTTCCATACTGTACTGTGGAAGACACAGTGTATCACGGGTCAATCTTCACATAAAAGGGGGACTGTGTGCATTTTATGGCAGTTTGAGAAATGCCAGGTGGAGGAAGTAATACGCAGCCAGGTTGCATACCTGTCCCTACTAGGTCTGCACAAGAAGCACACAAAGGAGGCTCTTCTGGCACCATAAAGGGTAAACGGGACTCATGCTGATAGCCTTCAAGAACGGAGGCCAAGTGAGGTGAGTGGGTAGCTCTCCCTTTCCCCTGCCTCCTACCTCGCTGTGTGTAACGGACAGGTCTCCCCAGCCTGTGCTGTGTGGGCATCCCGTCAGCGTCTGTGTCCAATTGCCTCCACGAAACACTGAACTCTGGCAGACTGATGATTCAGAGCTGTGACGGTTCTACTCATACATGATGGCTATTCCCGTGACAGTTTCCTCCTTCACTCAGGAGCTTATCAGTAAATGTAAATGGCACAGCTTCTGTGCAAGTGTGTGTGTGTGTGTGTGTGTGCGCACACACGCACGTTCACAGGTATGCAGGTGCACACGTGTGTGAAGGTTCACGTGGTAGTCCAAGGACAACCTCAGGAATAGTTCTTTACTCGCCATTTTACCTATCATTTCCCTGTTTCCGACAGGTTCTCTCACTGACCCAGAAACGTACCCAGTAGGTATGAGCTTCAGGGATACGCCCGTCTCAGCTCCTTGGCTCTGGGATTAACAGCTTGAGCCTGGGCTTGGACTTTGAAATTTAGGTTTGGGGACAGAGTGCAAGCTCCTCAGTGCTTTCCTGACTGGTCCCCTGTCCATAAAATGTTAATCTTTATAAAACACAGCGTCTTAAGGGGCAGTGAGAACAACGCGAGGTCTTTGGAATGGTCATTAGGACAGGCATACGCGTGATTTTTTTTTCTTACCTTAACTATTAGTCCTTTTGAGTCAACCAACCATATTTTTTCTATAGCCTTCTCCTTTGATAGACCTTCCTTCTCCATGGCCATAACGATCAGGTGAGCAATCCCCAAGGCAGCCTAAAGGGAAGGTATGAAAATAACGACTGTAAAACTTGTTCCACACAGCTTATCGACAGCTACTCACCACCTCATTTGTATGTTAGTAAGGAACTGCAAAACAGCTCTGGCCACTGAGTTGGAGAGCGTTAGTTCATTAAATCACACTAGGAGCTAAGCATTTTTGTCATATTTGGGTGTACAAAATGACCACTATTTACTCCCTTTTAATTACAACACAACCACTATGATACAGTTTGCCAGTCAGGAGTTAGGCCAGTGACAACTCCTGATTGTCAGTATATCTGATCCTAGTTACACAGTCAAGACTGCACGAACTATATTTAACACAATCAACCTGTCAGCCTGGCTCACTGGACTGTCTGACTCCCTGTCAAGAACACACTCCTCCAAATGAACTTGAATGAAGAAGCCTTAAGATGCCTTAAAACTTACAGAATCTCATTTGGATGCGATCCTTGACTAACTAGACAGCAACATAAAACTAAAAGGAAATATGTGTTGCCCAATATTTATTCATTCTCTTAATTTAGGCAAAGAAGATACTGCAAATTTTATCCCAATATTAAAGAAGCCATCTTATTTAGAATGTGATGAAGTCTGTGATAACCTAGGACATGCCACAGACTTCATCTTTTCAGAAAGAAACCAGGGCCTGCGGGTCATCCAACCAGGAATATTGCTTTTCCTGATCAGAATCAGGAACTGACCCATGTCATTCACCAGGAATTTCTGGAAACACTGAGGGGCTGGAAACACTGAGGGGCTTACCAGAATAAAGGTAGCAAGTGAAAAATCTACAAAATGAGAAGCTAATGTATCAGCACTCTTAGGTAGGTTAGGTTTTAATTTGTTTGAAAGTGAATCTGTGATTATGTTCTGAATGTTTCTGTGTACCCCCTTTAGTTCTAGGTCTAATTTTAAACTTCAAAGAAAATGAAAACACGGTATGTACACATTTCTACCCATGGAACATTTTGTTTTGTTTATGAGCATATTAAGTTTAATTTCTTTTTCTCAAAATGACTATCTAGCCATAGTATTTTGTCGTTTTTGAATTCTGTAACTCTAGAGAGATTGAAAGTTTTCTCACAAGAAAACTAACTGTATTCTGTTTGGGAAGTGAATTAGCTTTCTTCATTTAAATGAGTATTAACAAGGACTTCAAGAAACTATGTAATTTGGCCTTATGCAATTTTCTTCCAATGATTTCAAATGTCTTGGTTATAATGTTGAACGGCTTTGATGTAGTATGGATCTTTAATTTAAAATCTTTCTTGAAATGTATATATACAGGTCAGACTGTGTGTGTGTCTGGGAACACTTTTGCCTGTGACAATGGGGAATAGGTATACTAACTTAAATACATTAAATGTATACAACACACATTGGAAACTTTTCATTCTGCATCAAGCCTTAAAAATGAATAACAAAGTCAACAGTAACAACTGATCTCACAAATATAAGGCACTGGAAACATTTTAACATTTCCTAAGTCTCCTACAATGATGTAAGATGCCTTAAAACTTACAGACTCTTCAGGCTACAGCTGTAATATAACACTAGGAGGGCATGTGAGACCTGGAGTAAGACCTAGCTGCACGTTAGTTGGGATGCAGTAAACGGCACACAGGACAGGTACCTCTCCAGCTCCCTGGAACAGCACCTTCTGATCAGAGAGCTTGTTCTTTGTTATTCGAAGAGCTGCAAGGAGACCCGCGACTGCGACAGACGCTGTTCCTAAAACAGAGAGAAATACCATTGAGTAGTCCTCAGTTGGATCCTGCCAGAGTCTAAGCCTTTATTCACATCATCAAATGACCACGTGACAGGACAACAGGGACAGACACAGAACCTATTTGTCTGTTCCCAAGCTGGCAAATGGTTATGAACATCAGTATTTTAGCACAGCAGGTTAAATCCTTAAGAACGCCTCAAGAAGGACATGCCGGGGCTCATTTTGATGGTGGGTAACAGCATGGGGTTGGGGTCTGCTTGGTTTCAGTTCTGGTTTTAGATTTTTAAGGAAGCATCACATGTAGCTGTGGCAGAACTTAAACTCTGTATGTGCCCAGGATGGCCTCAAACTTGCAACCCTTCTGTCTTAGCCTCCTAAGTGCTGGAATCATCACACACATATGCTCCCATGCCTGGCTTGAGTTTGGACAGGACGTAGATTTCAGTCTACCTGCTCACTAGCTGGAAGAATTTAGAGAAATAATTTTGTACATCTGTGTATGTATTTCACTCATTTGTAAAATGATTTTATTGTGTGTCACAGAAGAAGAACTGGTGCTGTTAAAATTTCCCCCTAAATATTCTTGAAGCTTTGAAATTCACTGTTGATCTCTCCCACACAAAAGATATGGCTGCTTAAGTGTTGGGGGGCAATGATGTTTCAAATATATTTAGAATTTCATGTTTAAATTAAAAAATAAGCATTACTAGCAATTAAAATATGTTTTTTATTGACCTTTTTTTTTTTTTTCGGTTTTCCAAGACAGGGTTTCTCTGTGTAGCCTTGGCTGGCCTCGACTCACTTTGAGATCCACATAGATTCATCTACCTCTGCCTTCCAGAGTGCTGGGAATACAGGTGTGTGCCATCACACCTGGCTTAAACTATCTCTTTTTTTTTCTTCAGATATATTTTATTATATTTATTTTATTTTATTTTATTTTATTTTATTTTATTTTATTTTATTTGCACTGGTGTTTTGCCTGAATATATGCCTGTGTCTGGTGTCAGATTCCCCCCAAACTGGACTTATAGGCAGGCATGAGCTGTCATGTAGGTGCTGGGAAATGAACTAGCATCTCATAGGTACAGAGGTTCTAACCACTGCTCTAATCAAATGACTTCATTGTGTAGGCAGACCACGCACTATTACTCTTCTCCGAATGTGATTACACAGCTTAGTCTCTTCACAGCTCAGTCCCGAAACACAAAGCGGTTTCCTGCAATGCCTTCTAGTTATGTAGACATTTCTCCTCCATGGTGACATCCTACTGTCTCAAGATCACCTGGATGAGCGAGAGAGTCTAGCCAAACTTCCAAAAACCTTACTCAGGAAAAACCTACGTCTGAATAGATGCAAGTAAGACCACTGTGATATTAAGAAACTGCGGTAAGTCACATATTGTGCAAACCCATTGTTCTGTAGGTGATTTAAAATGAAAGTTTAAAGAGCTGACAATGTGACTCAGTGTAGAATGTTTGTCTAGTGCACATAAGGCCTGAGTTAAATCCCCCAAAACCACAAAAAATTCTGTACAAAATATGGCTGATTTATATAGGAAATATGCCACGATGTCTGTCCCATACACCAAGATAGACTCAGCAGAACTGTTACCAGATGAAATCAGGGCGGCAGAGACATCCAATTACCATGGTAAGTAATTACTCACATGCAATGTCTAAGCTAGCTCTGTCTTGGGTTCTTCTGTTGAAAGTGAGTCTGAACTTTAGACGTAAGGGATTGTAAGCTTACTTCCAACTCTCAGATCATGTGATTCCAAGGTATCTACTGATGGTCCCAAGGTTATATGATTTAACTAGCTGAAGAGTCAATGCTGGGACATTACCAGTATCACTACTTTGGTATTATTATTCTGGTTTTTATTGTTTTGTTGTTTTTCATGTAACTGGATACTTGGAGACAGACACAGAAATTTTGCTTTGTCTATTCCAATGTGCCACTGTTGTGTGGTGATGCTAGTTCATTCTACTAAAGTTCAAACTGCTTTACTGTAGACATGATTACCATAAATTGGGCAGAGTGAGTCTCTTCTCACTGTATTGGATTCCAAGTCATTATATGTATATCCTGTAGCATTTCCTAGTGAAACAGCAGAATGTCTAGTCTTCTCTTTATAGCATCAGTACAATCAGAAAGATGGTTTAGCACCACCAAAAATTTAATGTGAACACAATTTTTCTACACAGTTCGTGACTACTCTAAATCTCATTATAGAGAACCAGTGCAGAAAATTAAAATTTTATAAAAGTGTGTTTTAAAATAAATTACAAAATCGTTTAAATTTTAGTATTAAAATTACACTTAAATAATCAGACAGAGGGAGGTCTGTCCTTGAACTTCTGGTGCTAAAGAGGACTTAAAGCAGTTAACAATACTGAATAAATGTACTCTTTCTTTTTTTGTTTTTGTTTGTTTTCTTTTGTTTTCCAAGACAAGGTTTCTCTGAGTAGCCTTGGCTGTCCTGGATTCACTTGTAGACCAGGCTATCCTTGAACTCACAGAGATCTGCCTGCCTCTGCCTCCCAGAGTGCTGGGATTACAGGTGTGAGCCACCATGCCCAGCGATGGACTCTTTCTTAAGATGTTATTGTCATTTAAGATTATTTTACATTACTGGTAGAGTTAGCTATGTTTTTCTTTAATCAAATACTTTTCATAAAATAGTTTATCTTTAAAAAGAACACATCTGTTTCAAAAGAAGGGGGAAAAGTCCTTTAAAGACAGGATGCAAAGGCATTTATCTGCATTGCAGGGCTGAAATAGTTCCGTAATTGTTTTCACTGACAATATCCACAGGCACAATAGAAAGTGGAGAAATAATCAGGGTGGTCTGCTCATTTACAGTCAAAACTCAAGGATTCCCCCTGGCTTTCTCTACTAAGGGATTACACACAGTTTTCTCAAACCTGTGTTTTCCTTTCTGAGGGTAGATATTGTTCTGAAATTCCTGTAAGGAAATAAGCATTCAGTGTACAGGCAGCTAGGGTGAAAATCCAGCAATCCCTATTGGCAAGCTTGGCGCGTTCTCCAGCATCTTCAGCATGCCTCACATACTTCTCTGGACCCTGACTTGACTCCTGCCTTGATTTCCAGGCTTCACTTCTGTTCCCAAAGTCCTAACCTTAATTATGGGTCCCAACAGACAGAAACTGTCACTCAAATTCCTGTTTTGTCTGGTGATACAGCTCTCTTAAACTAAACACTGGTTCCCATTTATTCTGCATTATGGTTCTCAATCATATAAAACTGGCCTTAGCATCATTATACATATTTCTGTAAGAATCACAAAATGCAAAGGTATAAAATACTATAGGGAAGGAATGTCTGTGTGTTGTTATGTTGGTTTGAAGTGTTAGGGATAAACCCCAGCCACTGATTGTGCTAGGCGAGTGTTCACTTACATGTATCCCCAAGCCCTGAAAAAAACAGGCTTATTCCAGGGATCACACTGGAAGCTGCTATAGAGACCATCTTAAAATAAACTGGTGAGTGACTTACAGATTGTCAGCCTGCACTGCAGAGTGTAATGTGTGTATGCATTAGAGCCAGTCTATCATCATACAGGATATCCTAGAGTAAGGCTGTAACACATTAAAACCAACTTCCTTTGTATAGCTCACATTTACACGAAAGACCTGGAAAGTCTGGATTTCCTTCTGAAATCCCCTAAATACTCGATCCAAGAACTCCACAGCTGTGTGCAAAGTGACTATACAGGAACCATGCACAATGACAAAGCAAGAGTGCACAAAGAGGCTTCTCCGAAAACATCAGCAACAGATAAATCAACGGAAGACACCAGGTTTTAGACTGTGACATCAGGGGGACTTAGTGATGGCAAGCACTTGGCTGAAGTTCACTGAGGAGGAGACCACAGGGAGAAGGGTGGGTTGGGGAGGAAATCGGTTTGCTTTGGCATGGTTTCAGAATGAGGTAACTCTGAGATAGCCAAGAAGAGCTGTTAGTAAACAGATGAACATAGCTCCCTGAACTTCAAAGAAATATTTAATGCAGAAATAAGACTGCAAGCTGAATGTCACAATGTGGAATATGACCTAAGAGGATAGTACTAAAGCAAAAAGAAAAGGCCTGGAATTCTGTCATGTGCTAGTCAGAGGGAAGAGGTGAAGAGACAAAGCCGTGGGAAGAAGTCTGCAGATTCAGTAATGGGGGCAGCGGAGGAAAGTAGTTCAGAAAAGGGTGAGTGACAGGGCTAAGTGCTGTAGAGATAAAACTGAAAAGCATTCACAGCAGCTCACTGAGATGGAAGCACCCGTGATCTTCAAGTTGCTAGAACTATGCAACTCCCTGTGTTTATCCTTTTACTTAGTGGTAAAATCAATGATAAAGTATTACTTAATGAGATAGGTTCCTAAGACTTTCACATAAGGCCTAGATGTTGAAGGAGGGAGGACAGAGAGGGCTCGAAAATCAGAGCTTGAATAGAAAACCATGCACAGCTTAGACAAAGGACCACAGTGAAAACATGTGCCAGAAATCTCAATTAGAATGCAGCAGACGATTCACATGCCAGCCTGGATGCTCATGTAAGCTCAGCCAACAACCTGTGGTTAAGTTTGAGGTCCAACTGTATAGAGTGAGACTCAGACTTAAAACACACACACACACACACACACACACCACCACCAACAACAAAAACCCCAAAACAAACAAACAAACAAACAAACAAACAAACAAACAAACCCAGAGATATAGCACTTACTGGAGTAAGACTTAGAAACTGTGGCCAAGGGGAATATACATTTAAATCCTTAAACAACAGACAGTCTGTTTTTATGGATTCCCCTCCTAATTAAGTCCTAATAACTGGAGATTTTATCAGATTTTTGGGAGCTCATGTATAATTCAGTACATTATAGGGTGTTTTTCCAAATGTGAAAGAGAACCAGAAATTATGACTAAATCATCCAACATAAATCCTGGTTTTTGACAAGTACTAATGTCTACTGGATTTGAATAAAAAACTGCAAACTAATTTCAGGTGTTATTTCTCATCTGTTTATTTTGTTAAGTTTCCATATATATGTTTTAAACATATGCACAGATACATAATTATATAAAATAATAAAATGTTGCTATTTATTTCAGCTTTTTTGTTTTACTACTAGCAAAATTTACATCTAATAGGAGAAGTTATTTAATGCAGATGAGATTTAAGGAATAAATTTTCTCACTATAATACTTTTAGAACAGAACATTAGTTTTGAAAGTTATGAGCTCCCGAAGTTGTGAAAATAGGAAAGTTTCTGGTTTGAATGACAGCGTAATATTTACAGCCTGTCCCAACTTCTCAGCTCAATCCTTCTCCCTCTCATGTTTTACCCCACAAACTGACCCCTTTGGATCACTCTGATATTTTAATCACCTACAACATCAGCCCTTCAGTTTGTTTCTGGTGTTTTTTATAATAGTCACTTGTGCATACATATAGGTTTTGACCTTTCCCCTCCTTTTCTGATATATATGGGTGGGTACGGATGAGATCCTGACACAGTCGGGAGCTGACTGCCAAGCTTTTGTGTGTCTTGACTAAATCACTTTGTGACATGATCTTTCTAGACTTCTTTTCTGTGCCCTTCCTGCCTTTGCTCACACAAGTCACTGCATTTCTCTCTTGTCTGACTGGAGACTATCATAAATTATTCTTTATCCATACACAGTGAAATGTGGTTACCTTGAATATCATCGTTAAATGTGCAATACTTGTTTCGATACTTGTTCAGGAGACGAAATGCATTCAGATTGGCAAAATCTTCAAACTGAATAAGGCAATTCATGCCATATCTATGAGGTAAAAACATGCATTTTAGAGGTTAATAAAATAACATTTTAAGAAGCATTTACAAGTAGCCCAAAGAAAAGGCACACCAATTTCTTTTAAAAGTCCTACCTAGATGCTTAGCATAAATGTATAACACATTATCAGCAAGGACTGACAGCACGCTTACCACAGAAAAGGGACTAGGCTGGTACTGTGCGATAAATATCTTACTGATAAAAACTCAGTCCAAAATATGATCTATATCATCAAGGAATTTAAAACTGAGTAGAAACAAAAATCTTCTGAGTTAAATGAAAGGTATGCAAAATGCAATATAAATACTATATATAAACAAAGGATTAAAGTTATCCAGAAAATAGTGCTTCTAGCTACACTTAAAAGCCAACTGACAAACTGATGAAGCTTTAATTGTCTATTATTTTGAAAGCTGGGATGAAGGGTCTGTCTACACATCAAGGAAAAGCAGAAGCCAAACAAATGAAATGTGTAGGGGAGGAGAACCCTGTTGAGGAAATGTTATGCTCACTAAGGGCCTGCAGTGCAGCGTGAGCCCTAGCCCTCATCCTGGCCCTTCTGAGCTCAGCTGATCCATTCCTTCTACGCATGCCAAAGGCAGTGATCTAACAGCTTATGGGAGAGCTCTCTGACTCCCAGGTCCTGATGCTTTTTCTGACTCTGAATACCACTGTACTCTACCAAGACAGCAGATAAATCCAGCTGTAAGGTCTGGCCAGTATCCCAGAAGTCCTGAGTATTTGTTTCCCTGTTTGTGTGGACATTAATGCAAACCCCAAAGTCTTATTCTTAGTCACACTGTGCTGTTGAAGGAAACTTGCCCTGGGTCACATAGAAAAGAGAGCAATCTACAGCTCACAGGGTCCACAGACATTGTCTGGGAAGGACCATCTCCTGACAGACAGCATCTCTTTGCTGTGGGCTTGTATGGCAAACATAGCAGGCACAGCCCTTCCCTTCAGCCTCTTTCACAAGGGGCACCTATCCAGTCATGATGGCTGGTCCTAAAAAGGCCCTTTCTCTTCAGAGCTTCACATTGGGGTTTAGTTCTAGAGTATGGCTCTTGGAAGGACACAGACATTCAGATAAGACAGCTTCAACACACCTGCTGTTCACCTTGTCCACAAGTGCTCAACTCCTTACCATCCTCTACACCTCTCAAAGACAGGGAGAAAGGGCTTTACTTCTTTATGTCCACCTCTCTGGACCTTACTCCATCAGACTTATGTTTCTATATAAAAGCTTTAACGTCTCGTTCTCCAGCGGCTCATTCCTATCTGCAAGAATTCTTGGGACTCGGTGATTTTTAAAACCACCTCACATGGTAACAAAACCAAAGCTATGACTTCATTCACCCTCATGGTGTCGAAGTTCTCACTACAGAATACTAAACTTTGTCCTTCTTTCTAACTTCTTCCAACAATGAGGAAAGTTGCAAACCCCACTCCCCAACATACCAGTGTATATGAAGTCTGTCAGAGCTCTCTCCTGCTCCACCTCTCCCTACTACCACAACTGAGATCTCTGTAGTTCCATCATTCCATTGTTTTCATCCATTTATATTTACTCATATGCTTTTATCATGTATTTAATGATCTACATCTTAAAAACACTGTAACACTCATAGGTGAAATTGGGACTGAATCAACCTTTCCTCCTTCCCTCCTTCTATAAAGTTTTTTTATGTATAGAGGAGGGGAGGGACTGAGTCCTTCCTGAGATGATTTTCCTCAAGGCAGCCAGGGTCCCACAGGCCTCCTCTCCATTCTTCCTGGTACATCCTCACCCATGTGCTGATGAACTAACTCAGGACCACCTTCGGAGAGCTTGAGAACTTCCCTGGTGTGCCTCACCTCTCAGACCTCAGACCACCTACTTGATGTGTTTGGTGAGGTGCCCACCACAATGGCTATACCTCACATGGCCAGGATCTTGGCCATCTGTGGCCTTATTAAAACCCTGGCCATGGGACAGCACAGAAACCAGGCTACTGCTCTTCAGTGGCTACTGTGGTAGGACAATGGAGGTTCTTTGCCTCATTTTCAATTACTAATGAAACTTAATATTGTTTTCTATTTCTTTGTATTTTCTTTATCTTGATCATTTTTACTTCTTTCTAGAAAACTGTATTTCTTTGGTTCATTGTTGCCCTTTCACTATTTTAATAAGAAGCCATTATATTTTAAGGGCAGTACCTTCTGTTATAGACACCACAAATGGCTCTCTTAATCTACTATCCTGTGCCATTAACCCCTTAGATGGTGTTTGTTCTACATAACTTTGTCAACTGGACGTGGTCTAAGACCATGTGAAAGAAGAATCTCAATTGAGATTCTGAGGAGGGCTGTCTTGACTGTTCAGTGATGTAGGACAGTCCAGCTCACCGTGGGCAGCAGCAGCCTAGGTGGCTGGTAAGAGCTGTAGATGAACGCTGGCTCAGTAGAAGCTGCTCTGTGAGCTAGCAACCAGCACTCTCAATGGTTCCTTCTGTATTTCTTTAGCTGTGAATTGAGTTCCTTGGTCAGAGATAATGCTGTGTGGAAAAACAAGTAGGCCTGCCTTGAACTCCTGCCTGGACTCCTCTCAGTAATGGACCATGACGTGGAAATGTGAGCCAAATAAACCCTTTCCTCTCCCAAGCTGATTTTGGTAAAGATTTTTTTTTTCTGTTATCACAGCAACAAAAATGAAACCAGAATAGTGTTTCCGCTATTATTACGACAGAAGTTTCAGGGTTTTATGTAAGACGATTACCTGCTGTTTTTAGGGAAGGACTCACCTTTGGAGAGCAAACCTATGATAGCCCTTGTATGCACATTAATTTATAATACCAACTTTCTTCTACTTGCATCATGGATTTAGAAAATGGCTAACTTCAAAATGTGTTATTACTTTTATTAGTCCATACACTTTTCATGATGAAAATGTCTTTTCTCTACATTATTTGCCTGGCTACACTAGCACCATTCATTTAATATTCCATCCTCTCCCTTTACCTCATACACCATGTGACACAGAGGACAGTCAGCTTCTGTTTCTGTTTTGCTGCACTACTGCCAATGACAGCAAATGTGTTCTGCCACTTTGGAAGATATAAGGCACACGATTACTTCCAGAAACATGCCATGGACTACGTTATTATTCTCATCTTACCGATGTGAACATGGGCACACATGACGACAAGGCATGACAGTGACAACTGGGGTAGTAACGATTAGACTTCTGATATGTGTATCAATAAAAATGCCTACTTGCTCTCACCAATATTGCTCTCAAGTAACTCTAATACTGAATATGGCTGGTTACCCCTTTGTTATTTTCTGACTTTGACTGCTATTGTGGTTCTGGGCCATAGGCTATGGAGTCAGAGCTCCCATGTTCAAATCTTGGCATCTTCACATCTTCAGCTTTTCTGTACCTGTGTTTTCCTATCAAGAAAGATGTGAATACTGTCCACATCTGTCATAGATTTGTTATGTGGGTTGTCTGAAATGATGTGTGTTCAGTGCAATGACTGACAGTAAGTACTTTATATTCAAGACTTTCAAAACTATTTAATGGTAACAAAACAAACTATTATATGTGAGATAATGTCTTCAAAGACTAAGAGAAAATCATCACCATCCTATATAGTACAGTTTAAAAATTACTGTTTAGGAATAAAGCTAAAACAAGACAGCTTAGATAAAGATACTAAAGGAACTTCAAAGGATATTTTTCACAAAGAAAATAATCCAAGCATTAAAAGCTCTTTTACCATTTCATAAAATGGTGAAATACATATAAATTCTGTCAGATGACAGAGTAATGACAGATAAAAGTGCTTTCATCCCGACAGAGTGAAGCTGACCAATTAAATCTGCCAAAGCAGACAGACTTTTAGAGCAACTGTTTTGATGCTGTAGAATCTACTGAGGGCAGAAAGGAGGAAAGGGTTAAGAGGAAATTGGGAGAGTGGAGATAAGCCATGAACAAAACAACTGTACTCATACACATGGTGCCATTTTTCTTATTCCAAGAAAGCATTCCTTAAAATTATAAAAATGTTAAAAGAACTGAAAAGAAGCATTTCCATAATTTTATAAATTGCCACTTTTGAAAATGTCAGCAGAGAAGTAAACTTTGTGGTGGCAACTAAGTAGCCCAAACACAAATATCAGTCAACAACCATCCAACGTCTGTGATGGCTACTTTCCAATTCTCTGGTTTCTAAGGAGCCTTCAGAAACCAAAACCCCTGTGTTGTTGGACAATGCCCTCGTATGGCTTGCTCCTGGCGTGTCATATTCTGGGGAATGAACAGCAGCAGATGCTCTGTCATTATGTTCAGAAGAAACAGCTTGTGGTCTGTGAGGCGGCATCAGAGCCTTCTCAATTCTATTCCCAGATCTACTGCTTACTTGGTCTGGTGGTTTGAAGCTCGTTACATTTTCTCTGTGGTTGAAATGGAGTCCCTCCAGTGTGGTTTGCCTTCACTGTTTGGGACACAGTGTAGTGAAGCTATAAATCTACAATGTTTCCGCAGTGCCATCTGGGAAGAGTCCTAGGTAGTAAATCGAAATGTGGGGCACCTTATCATTTTCACATGCCTGTGTAGAATCATCCTCTAGAAGATGTCACACACCCATCTTAATTTTGTGACTTTTCCTACCTGGTAGTTAAGTCTGAGATGTAAAGAGGCTTTCTGAATTCATCCTGTAATATTTGCATCTTGTACCATGTAATAAAAAGAAAGCCATGGAAGGGATATTTTGTTCAAGCTTAAATCAGCTAGATTTTATGAAATCAAAATTGATAGAACTCTCAAGAGTTAGCCAGTTTACCTCCACATAACTGCGTAAAGAACCTACCATTTTATAATAAAAATCTGGTATAAATTAGCTGGTATAAATAGTTTTAAAAGCTAACAAAAATACTCTAAAATTGACATGTAAAAATCCTGGAGCTTGTGTTTTCTGTGGCTGTGTTAAGTCTGGAAACTGCCTTAC